AGCACAAAAACTCTACCGAACTTAGCAAACACATCTGGACACTCAAGAACGACAACATTGACTATTCTATCTCATGGCGCATCTTATCATCTAACTCTCCCTACAACAGCTCCAATAAAAGATGCAACCTCTGCCTAAAAGAAAAATTCCTGATAATTTACCGACCCGACCTCTCATCACTAAATAAGCGTAACGAACTCGTATCTTCATGCCGACACAGAAACAAAGCGTTGCTACGCAACAACTGAACTTTAAAGTTTTTAAGTTTACCGCGCATTATGCAAATTTTCCTAGTATATAAACGATAGTCACATGAATATTCTTTCATTAAACCCCTGAAGAGTGAAGCGATTCACGAAACAGGCTTGTCGGGAAATGTAGTTACGTCCTTTTTTCCTCTCATAATATTTATTCTGCTCTGCTTCAACGCATTGAGCACTGTTCCACGCGAAAATCGACTTGCAGACTTCCTATATATATATATATATATATATATATATATATATATATATTAGTTTGTTTGTATGATTGTACGTCAAGTCTTTGAAAGAACATTATTGCTCATACTCCTTGTCTGTAGTAGTATATATACATTAGCATATGTCAGACTTACTGGGATATTCGTATCCGTCCGAGATTGTCGGCCTGATTTCCTCGCTGTTTGGAATAACTTCATGGAAAGATAAAACTTGAATTAAAAGAATGCAGTCACAAATAAACAGGATACCCACCCTTTCACTTTGCCAGTTTGTTGCGCATTTGAGTTATGATAGATTCATGGCAGGATAGAAGATGAAACGCTAGTCGCAAATACTATTCAAACCGAAAATTGCATTACTAGGAAACTTTTTCGCTCAGAAATTTTTGCAATACCTGTTTTCTTTAAGAATGACTGATTCCTTCGGCTGTTAGGGGCATCTAAAAGTAACAAAAAAATTTATTAAAATGCAATGAAAAATAATGCAAAATAAGCAAGAACACTAAAGACAAAACAAAACAAACCAAAGCAACCCAGCATGTTTACTCCGCAACTGACCTCGTTTTGACCAATAAATAAATCATGGGACGAAAGTATAATTTATTATTCCAGCTTTGCCGTGTCCTGCCTAGTTTTTGTGGTCAGTTTTCTTTTGCTATCGTTTTCACTGATTTTGTTGGTTTTGCTATTTCAGTTTCCTTTCTCATGTGCATGTGTTGGATATTGCAGGTGCAGCTCTGCACTGATCATATTTAGCTAAGATTACGATTAGGAGTCTTGGAAACCATTAGAGTCGTAATTACGCTTTTAAAAAGACAAATATTTAATTCACCGCTTCATATCTTTCCTTAGCGCGCAATTTTAGTTTTCTTTATAAACTTACATGTGTACTTGATATGGATGGCCACAGAAGTCTTATTATCCTCGCCGCTTGAGGCACCTGCATGAAAGAATGTCAAATATATACCTGATAAGCGCACTGATTTGCTTTCGGGAATTTTAAATTTTCATAACTGAACTGATTATTACGACGGTGATCAACAACCAACATTAAAATGTTTCAAAATTGTGCCAATATTCACTCATGCTCCATTTTCTCCACGTTGCACTTAGCATCATTTGTTTACTCTAGGTATCTTTACGTGATAGCGGGAAACAAGAATCCTAAGGTTTACAATTCTGTTAATTAAAGGCCAACATTGCTTAAAGCAAATTAGTACTCGACTCTCCAAATCACATCCTTCATATCTAGGTAAAATCCATTTCAACATTAACAGGAATCGTTGCTATGTTGGGTCCTAATGACGGAAAAAGCTCATTTCTGAGTGCACCATCACTCTTAACGAAAGGCACCAAGTACTCTCGACCCCTGTATTAGTACAGTGCTCTTGCGTTGAACTTTTGAAAACTTTGCATTTCCTTTGTCGAGAGACTTAAAGTAAGACGTAGACAACCTAAAAAGCACATTATAATTTTATTATTCAAAGCCACATAATTATGTAGTTTAGGTTAGTGATATTTTTTCTTAAAAGGAGAATTGTAACTTGCAAGATTTTTTATTAATTTTTTATACACTTTCATGTTAGATTCCGGGTTGTATGAAGTTACTCTTGCAAACAAAACTCGACTGTTGCCTTAGAAATCGACCAAAATATCGACATAGGTGTATCTTCATACTTCTATACGTTTCCAACAAGGGAAGGAGACATAAACGCTGAGTTGAATAAATTTAAGAATCAGTTCTTGCCAGGTACTGTGTAGCTTACCTCGTTTCATTCTTTTTAAAGGGGGCGTATTTTGTGGATTAGCAAAAGAATGCTGTATCCCTATTGGCGAGGGAGAAGTAAAAGAAGGATCTATGAATGTTATTTAAGAAAAAATACAGTGAGGAAAATGTGTCTCAGCTCAAGAGCCTTTAAACCATGATGGCGCAAATCATCTCAACGACTAACTGAGAGGATACTTGAAATCAAACTTTCTCCCATCTACGCAAGTGTACTTTCATCCTAAATTAAATACTTTTATACATAATGCGTTTCTTGATGAAATAGATCGTCGATTGATTAAAAGACTCAAAAGTTAAAGTTCCTCTGATTCATTCTAAAGCATTGAAGATTTGCATTGATTCATTGATCGTCGCATAAGCGAGAAAAAAAAGTTGTGCAGAAACAAAATAGCTTACAAACATTGTGACTTAATGATTGATCACGAGCTACAAAAACTCTGGCTGAATAGCAGACTATATCTGACCGTGAGTGCCGCATTTGCTGACTCGATCGTAATTTAAATACCAACAACTCGACAGACGAGCTGGTTTTCCGAACGACCGACCGACCAACCGAGAGACTGAATGACAGACTGACCGTTGGATCATCCCACTCATTCGACTGACAGGGAGAACACGAACATTATGAGAAAGAAAAACAGACATTTCAATTGAAAGTATTTCTTACCTAGGGGTGGTTGTTAAAACAAAAACCAAGATCATATCATTGTCTTTTTGAATGGTAATTTTGTATTAATATAAACATTCATACCTTCCTTTCCAAAGCACTTTGCGTAACAGAAATGTTCTAATCGAACCTGAAAGAAAAAAAAAACCAAAATCAAAATTGAATAAAAAGAAAACTTCAGCACTCTAATAATATAACGAGATTTACTTTCCCTTTTCAATATTACGCAGGCAACAAAATTCAATCATGAAAAATAGTATTTTCTCTTATGGAGACAGCTTAGATCACTACGGATGCTATCTCGTAAAACTAAAAGCTACATCTAAATAACGAGACGAAAGCGACTCACACAAGCCAATAGTTGAAAAAATACACAGTATCTCCATTCATACACATTTCTATCATTGGAGCTCACACGACACAAGTACAGCTTGTGTTTTCTTTGTCGCGCGACGTAGCCAAATTCCAAGAAAGTTTTGGTGACTTAGATTTTTTAGGTACGTTTGATGCAACACCCTGTCAAAAAATTAGTTTTCTCATTTCGTGTTAATTGCCCCTGATCCTGATGTTTCTTTTCCTTTCACCTGGCTGCAGATTTCTATCCTCTTAGCGTTGTGGGAAATCTACCCCCTTCCTGCGTGTGATTGAATAATTCTGCTCATCTTCATGTGTTGCTTGGTCTTGCTTTACGACATCGTCGGAGACCCAGGGGCTGTGAGTCGATTTCAAGTTAAGGGCAGAAGAGCCCCTCGGGTCATTGTCTTACAAGACTAGTTCCAAACGGTCGCAGTCGTTCTGTGATCTGATTGGTGCCAGAAAATCTTTGTGTTTTTCTGCCCAATCAGAGTGAAGTGTGCTTTAGAGTCCTTTCGTGTGTTTTAACACGCACATTTACAAGAAGCTCAGTCGCTCGCTTTGATTGTTTGGGCCGTGCGACGAAGCCTTGCTCGAGGTGAAAAGTGTCAGTCTCAGCACACAATGTAAAAGAAATCGATCAGATTGTCCGCAAAAATCTCACCGGAAATTATACTGAATACTTTTGCAAGTATCACAAGAGAACGTGTATAAACGTTTGCGAGGTTCGTATAAAAAACGATGGTTGCAGGCGTTGATATGTCGCTTTAAACGTTAAACGAGATGTAAGCTTAAATCTCTCTAGATTTTTTGTGCAATTTGTTGTAACTGAAACTTTTCCAATCCCGTGAAGTTATTTCGTCGCACGGGCCACGCAGGTATGTCGAGCAACTGGCGCTTAGGCTTACGTAGCTTTCTGTGCACGCCAAAATCTAATCTTTGCTTTGTAGTAAAGTCTTTCACAACATGGACAAAGTTGCAGAGAACGTTAAGTTTGTGGACGACCTCCAGTAAGCGCTTGCAGAAAGCTTAGCTGTGTTTCCGGTTAGCTAATTGAAATCTGAACAAAAACTAATTATCGAGAACATCGTGGGAAGGAGAGATGTTTTCAAACAGTTACCGAAGGGGTTTGAAAAGAGTTTAATCTTTCAACTGCTGCCTAGAGTGTTCAAATTCTTGAGCTCGAAAGGCCACGGATTCTCTTCTACTCCCTTGGTCATTGTCATTTCACAAGTCCGCGTTTTACTGGTCCGCGTTTTACTAGTCCGCGTTTTACTAGTCCGCGTTTTACTAGTCCGCGTTTTACTAGTCCGCGTTTTACTAGTCCGCGTTTTACTAGTCCGCGCTTTACTAGTCCGCGTTCCATATGCCCTTAACTTGAAATCGACTCACAGCCCCTGGGTCTCCGAGGATGGCTTTACGAATACGCACATTTAAAAACATTTTACCCAAGTGAAATCTCCGAGTCAATTGATCTTTATATAAAAAGCTCAATTACACGTGCATTTCGAATAGCTCTTCAATTTTGATCTATGGAAGGAGAGACCTATCGATGACATCAGCATTAACATTTTTTTTCGCTTTTTTATTATACAAAAACAAATAGATCGCATGCTCCCCTGCGTTCGTTGAGTAGTAGATAACAGACGCTCCAGAACATGGAAAATATTTGTTAAGTAACGAGCGGCACACAATTCTTCAAGCCAAGCGTTTTGCCACCCTGCCACACTGAGGCTTCTGAGCTGTATATAAGAAAGGCGTCGTACTCAAATTCCATTTCTGAAACAACAATTTCAGTAGATTAAACAACTGATAACCTTAAAACCACAGAGTTCTTGGGGTTAAGGGACATATTATAAGTTCTCTTAGAATTCTTAAAATACAAAATACTGGAAACACAACACAACTTACCAAGCGATGAAGTTAACGGCCGACGAGGACAAGAGCAAAAAGACTGAAAGAACAGATGCACATGTTGAGTATATGGCAGCTGCCATGTTGGGAACACCTTCATTATCGCCACCTAATGAAAAGAGAAAGTTCTCATAACTTAAAAGTGACTGCTGTAAATACATATTACACGAGGGACATATGATTACAATTCAAAAATGACACTTTGACGATAATCGACTGCAATCAGTCGAAATTGTTTGAATTGATGACAGCAGGTTTCACTTGCGAAGAATGTTATGATACTCCACAATTTGCCCTTGTCCAAAAAAGAGGCAGATTTTTCTGGGATGACAAGGGAGCAATAGACTGTTTCTTATTTCCAAAACTCATAAAAGCTGATTTGCTTCTAATAAACCTTCTCAAACAAATTTAAGTCGATGATTTTTTTCGGCTAAATGACAAGAAGGATACGTAATACCCATTTCTCAAGTACGACACTCTTGCCTGCCCCCCCC